GACGGGACGAGCCCCCGCCCCCCCGGGGCTCTGCCCCTTCCCGGCTCGGGCTCTCGGGGTGCACCAAGGCCTCTCCCCGAGCCCCCACCGACTGCTGGGGTGCAACCAGCCCCCCCCCAGCACCAACCCTGCCTAATTACAGCCTTCCCCATCACAGCCAGTCTCGTTATTTTACTTATTCCTCAGACCCCGCCATGTTACCCCCTCCCCGCCAACTCCAGGGCTGTAAAACGTGCCGCATTTACATAATGGGCTCTTAATTTTTCCGTTGCCTGTTAAATGCTTTGTTCTCCCCAATCCGCCATGTCCCCCCACCCCTCTAAGATAAATTAATTACATTATCTCGTGGGGAAAAAAAAAATAATTAAACTGTACAGGCCTTAACAAACGCCTGCTCTTCACGCCCCCTCATTCTGCTTAAATTAATTGAAAGGAAATGTGTGTTATTACTGTTAATTTACAATTAATTTTTTTTTTTTTAAATCCGGTTTCCAGGCTGAAGGAATATCATCGTCTCCAGAGCAAGGTCACTGAAAAGCAGGATGAATAGCAATCAATCGCACGCGAGCCTCCCGCTCTCCTTTCTAATTTCTCTAAGAACTAGCACTAATTGTGGTGGTAATTTGTAATTGTAACTCGTCTCCCGGAGTCACGGCAGAGGTGATGGCTTTGTTACGGGGCGGCAAGTGAAATGCAATCATTAAAAAAAAGGTGGTCGGCCGGAGGAGAAGTGGCGAAAGAAATAAAAACCCAGCCACGCGCTGCGTCCGCTCATTGAGAGCCCGGCTTTATTCCTGCCTTGTTTGTTTGCTCTTCTGGCCCAGCGCTTCCCCGAGCCGGGCTTTGTGAAATTTGCAATGGATTAAGTGCCTGTGAAGGACGTGGGGGGGGCTGGTGGTACCTTGTGGTGAAGGTGGGGAGCGGGGACGTCGCCCCGCACGGTGCCGGGCCGGAGGGGTGAGCTGGGCAGTGGGGATGGGTGCAGAGGATTGGAGCCTTCCTCTTTTGTCTTTGTTTTAGTGTGTTTTAAGAGCAGACTTGGGGCTTGTTGAAAAGGAAAAAACAGGGGGAATATCCTGCGAGGGTGTTGCGGGGGGCGAGGAGGAGGGGAACGCTTGCTCTGGGCTGGGCAGTGGGTTTCTCTCCCATCGCGCCTGGGCAGGCTGCGGGTCCCTCTGTCCCCGGGGCAGGTGGGATGCAGGGACAGCTCAGGGGGGGAGACCTGCTCCGAAACTGCGGTGGAAGCAGGAGGAAAGAAAGAAAAGACTTTCGAACCCATGCAAAAGACGCCTGCGACGTGCTGCTGCTTCGCACTGCCGAGGATGGGAAGCACCCGCTTTGGGATGTCCCCAAGGTGGGTGTCCCCAGGCTGGGAGAGGAGATGCTCTCGGGGACTGGGAGCGATGCACCCACCACGCTGCATCCTGCGGTGCCCAGCACAGCCACGGGGCACCGGGCAGCCCCATCCCAGCGGCAGGGACGTGCTGCTTTCCCACTGGCAAGCAAAAACAGAACTGCCCCAAAAAAGGGGAATGTTTTTGCAGCCCTTGAGGGGACAGCCAGGCCCAGTGGCCATTTGGGGACATCCAGGCATGCCCTGCCCGCCCTGCTGCCAAGCCGGTGAGCATGACAAGCTCTGACATCACAGCTGGGAAAATAACATGTTATTTTCCCAGCTTGGATGTGACTTTCCCTGCTATTACTGGCAGCGACCATCTTGGGAGGAGAAAGCAGCAGAGGGTTGTCAGGCGAGGGGAGAGAAATGGTTTTCTGGGCTGGTGGAGCCTGTCTGACCCCCGTGGGGTGTGGGGAGGAGGGATGCTGCTCCTCATCAGCAGCCATCTCCTGGGGGGATCATCCAAAAAAGCAAGATGGGAGCAGAGCTGCTGCCCTCCCGCGTGCCAGGGCAGGATGCTGTGCTGGCTCACGGGGCAGCGGGCAGCCCTGTGAGCTGTGAGTGTCACCTCCTCTGTGCCTGTCCCCAGCACTGGCTTGGCCTGGCCATGGCAGAGGTCTCCGCTGGCAAAGTGGAGTTTGAAAGAACTTGGTGCAATGAGGAGCTGATGGCTTTTCTGGGGGGTGGAAAAAAACCCTAAAAAAAGTGTTACAGCAGAAGGTTTTTGTGCCCAAATGCTTGAAATATGCTGGATGTGCTCCGGGAGGGTTCATCGGACTGGCTGGGCCAGCTCTCCCCAGGGTGCTCGGATCATCAGCTGGAAAAAACCATCTCACCCCGAGGCCTCAGATCTCTTCTCTGCATCCCCAGGGTGCTCGGATCATCAGCTGGAAAAAACCATCTCACCCCGAGGCCTCAGATCTCTTCTCTGCAGCACTTCGGAGCCCAGACCCAAGGGTGCCCGGGTTCCCACAATTTGCTGCGGCCTCCGCGATGCACAACGTGATTTTTGGCTAAGGGTAGAGGATGCTGTGTCCCACGGCAGGTCCGCATCCTGGGGCAGCACCCTTTTTTTTTCTCGGAGGCGGGTTATGGATGTGGCTGTGGTCAGCCTCGGAGGAGCAGCACGTGTCAGCTTCCAGTGGCTGCTTCCAACTGGGCTGAAAGCACATCGTGCCGGTAAAGCAGAACTCGGTGTATTCAAAAAGCCAAGTCAAATCCAGTGCAAGTCTTGCAGAAGAAAAACCCTCTTGAAAATCATGGGATCACAGGGTAGAGGAGACCCAGTAAATGCCTGCCCTTTCCCCTCGGTGCAGCTACCAGGGGCTGCAGAGATAGGATGTTCTGAGTCAAACACGACATGTTTAATTACTTTATTACCTTAATTACCATCAGCCCTTCCTGTTACCTTGATTTGATGGTTTCTCATTGGCCCTCTTGCAATTTCCCAGCATCCTTTCACCCCCGGTGTGTCTCAGGGTGGTATTTTGGGGGCTGCCCCACTCAGCTCCTGCTGCTCCCAGGATGGAAAAGCAGTGGGTGAGCAAGGCGGTGTGAGCGGTTCCTGAACCACCTGGTAACTCCTCGGCAGAAGCATCGGGGGATGATGTTTGGGGCCTTCAAGGTGTCAGGCTTCTTTCTGCAGCACCCACCTGGCTGTAAGGGCAGCGAGCGTGGGCTGGGGGCTCCTTGTCCCGGGGGAGAGCCCAGAGGGACCCCGGGAAGGGACCTGGGTCACTGCTGGGCTTCGAAGCTCTTCTGCGCGTTCCCCCGCAGCGTCGCCCATCACTTGAGCTCCAGCCTGCTCTAAGGCAGCCCCTCACCACCCTGGGGCTGGGGGTCCCTGGGGACGCCTTTGGGAAGCTGCACTCCCTCTTCACGCCATGGGGCTGCTGTGCCGCCCTGCCAGGCTCCGGGGAAGGGCTTCTCCGGGGTCACTGCAATCGATATCTCATCTGCAGGCTCTCCTAGCGGAAGTGATGGTATATTGGAACATGGTAATGGGTCTCGTCTAGTGGAAAAGGCTAATCTTCCCCAGCTGTACAGGATCTCCGCAGGTGTCCTCCGGCTCTCCCCGCTGCCACGCGGGGTGCAGAGCCGTGGCCGTGACTTCCCGGCGAAGGACCGGCACCCAGGGTGGCACCACGCAGCACGGGCGGCCGCAGCAGCCCACGTTTGCTGGCTCAAAGCAGAGAAGGTGGTGTGTCCTCCAGCCTCAGTCACCCGGGGATGGCTTTTCCCCAGGGGGAGGAGGAGGAGGATGTGGGGATGATGCCAGAAGGGGTGTGGACCCCTCAGAGTGCCACCTGCAAGCGTAGGTGGGAGGCAGGCAAGTGTCACAGGGAAAAGTGCAGGGAAAGCTCCTTGCTGTTAATTTGGCTTTTTTGGCAGAGTGCTCGCTGCCCGGTGAGGCTGACTGCAAGGGGCTTGGCCCGTTTTGCCCATCCCTAGGCACTGCTAGCAGAGGGAGGTCTCCCTTTGCCATGCCCGGCCGGCCATCACACCCAGGAGGGCTTTGTCCGTCCCCAGAGCTGACCAGCCAACGCTGGCTACCGCAGCCCGCTGCATCACTATGGCAAAAATCAATTTTCCCGTTTCTCTGGAGGTAGAGGTAATTACTGGGTTTAAGGTTTAATATGCATGTGGATTTTAGCGCAAGCGTTGCCAAGAACAACTCAGAACAATGCACAGATTTGGGCAACGCGTCCTGGGGGCTCAGGCGCGGCCACGGTGTGTGGAGCCCGCAGACGTGCTCTGCAAAAAGGGGGGCCCAGGGGCTTGGGGGTGCCCACCAGAGGCTGAGCCACCATCAGATCCCATGAAGGTTGTGACAAAGATCGCGCTCACCTTGTTCAGGGCAGGGATTTTTTCCTGCAGAAGACAGTAAGAGCAGACGGGTGTTAGGAGATAATTCCCAGGGCGACAGAGCAGCTGTGGGGCTGCTGGGTTTTTGCTTAAACTTTATTTTATTGGCCGGAGAAAGGGATCACCGGGTCCGTGCAAGCAAAAGGGATGATGCTTTGCAAGAAGGAAGCAGGGAGGTCTTGCGTGGCTGTGCCCTGTGGGACTCTGTCCCCATCACATCCCCTCCTGGGGCTCCATCTCCCCATCTGTGGGGCATGTGAGGGGGGCCCCGGCCCGCTTCTCCCAGAGGAGGGGGAGAAAATCCTTTTGGCTGCGCAATATCATGCCATTTTGGGCAGGCAGTGGTCCCTGGGTGCTGGGAACAGTTTGGCAGTGCCAAGGATGGGGTTTCCCTCAGCAAAGACACTTCCACCGGCGGCACACTCATGGGAAAACCACAGGAGACCCCACAATGAGCATTTGGTCCCCCTTTTCCTGTGGAGACACGGCTCTGGGCGGGTTCACGGAGCACACAGGTCACAGGGCCGCAGCACAGCACGGCTATTAAGTGTTCCCATCTTTCCGAGGGAAAGCCATCCCCCCGGTGAGGTTGGGAGTCGCAGGCCGTGAGCTTCCCAGGCAAGGGGGAGATGGTCGCCTTTGTAAACCCCTTAACAAGGTGGCTTTGTCTCCCCATTTAACAAGAAGCTCCCTTGCTTCTTCCCCGGGAGTTTCCCAACGCCGGGTCCCTGAAAGCCAGCTTTATGCTCCGGCCGGGGACGCGCTGCCGTGGGGCCGGTGGGGATCAGAGGGACACAGGGGCCCTTCTGCGCGCCCCTGACAAAAGGCTGCCCCGGGGGGACACAGCGTCAAAGCTCAGCCGGCTCGGGGTGTGTTGGGGGGGGACGACAAGGGACCCACAGAGGAGGGCGCGGC